GAGGAGAAGGAGAAAGGAAGAGGAAGTAGGGAGAAGAAGAAGAGGGGGGAAGAGAAAGTAAGAAGGAAAGAAAAGACACAGGTGGTAGGTTTGAGGAGAAAGATTGCTGTACAATAAAAAAGTTGAAAGGGAAGAAAGCCAACCCCAAACAAATATAAAGATATTAAGATAAAGAATGAATTGTTAAACTTTAAAGAATAAAAGAGAACAAATAGGAATAAATAACAATAATTAGAAACACACATACAAACATACAACATATTTTCTTTGAACAGAGTATTTGGCTGGTTCACAAATTTAAACAGTTGTAGGAGGTTAGCACCCACCCCTTTCCTAGAAGAATGAAATATTAAAAAGGCAGAATATTATATTTCCCTGGATGAGAAATGGAGAAGCATATTTTACAGACAAAGCAGCTCCCACCTTCCTGCCCCCCACCCTTTGTTAATGGGCCAGAGGCAGAAAGTCAATCCTTTGTCAAAGGACATTTGCAACACAATAGCAACAGAAACTAACACAATGGGCCCCATCTAGCAACCGAAACTCACCACACGTGATCTGGGAAGCATGTGACCTGGGAAGCACATGTGACCATCAGCCAGCAAGGCTAGCTAAGACCCCCATCTCCTGGGAGACTGACAACCAATCAGGATACTCTTTCAGGGCCCCAAGAAATGCAAAGCCAGAGAGAGCATAAAAACCCGAGGATTTACTGTATCTGCCCCTTTTCTGTTCAGGAACTCAAGCCATGTGATCCTGTCCACCATTAAACCATCTTTCCAAGCAGTCTCCATGTTTCCAGTGTCTTTTTCCCCACTTGGAGCAGAACCCAGAAGGATATTTCTTCCAACACAGTGTTTAGTCATTTCAATTAAATTTACAATTTCTATATTTCCTTTTTACCATATTTATTCCTCATCTATTTTTTAAAAAACCAATATTACCCTTCATCCTCATCTCTAATCTTAATCAAATTCAATTTTTCCCTTCCATTCTATATTATACCCCTTCACATTGTCAGCTATTTTTATATCCATCCTCACATTGGTTAATTATATAATTATGTAATACAGTTGTTTAATACAAATTCAACATTTTAATATAAATCAATTAATTATATAACTATCTTTTTTGTATATTAATCAATATGAACATGAATATTCCAATTATTTCCATGCAATCCAATTTCTTACAAATCAATTAATTATATTTACCAATAATAATAAACTAAATAATTTCCCCCATATATTCCTCCAAACCACAACTTAAATCATTTCTGCTTTCAACACAATATACAACTAATAGTATCTCAATTATTACAATTCCCTAGTTAAATAGAGCTTTTTTTCTTTTGTGTTTTAAAATCTTGAACCTCCTCTTTTGCCCTAAATTTCCCATTGTTTGCAGTTTTGCACCTACCTGTTTTGGTGAGGAAAAAGAAAAAGAAATCTCTCTGCCTCATTTTGTCACGTTGCACCAAAGACCCTGCTTACTTTCAATTTCTCTTTTTCAGCATAGCTAGGGGAAAAAAATCTGCTCCAGGAATTTACCTCTTTGCAGCTAGCTAGCAACAGAGCCCTCCGCAAAACAGCTGAGAGTAGGGCAGCTCTTTGAAGCCCCACGGCAAGAATTTAAAGTTTTTTTCCCTCTAGCCATCAGCTGGGACTCCGGAGGCAGCAATAGATTGGGAGTGGGCGGGGTAAGCGAACGGCCGGCGATCCAACAGAGCAGAGAATGAGGGTAAGTGAAGGCGTGGGTGGGACGAGAGAGGGCTTTGGCGACTCCTGTGAAATGGCCGTTCAACCCCCAAAGGGGTCGCGACCCCCTGGTTGAGAACCGCTGTCTTAAAAGGAGATAGCAGTCTGTCTTCTGTTTCTGCAAGAAATTTACTGGTCCTGTGAGCTCTGAAGAGTAACATGAATCTGTTAGTGTAACACAGGGGCTTTTTACCAAGCGTGTTTCCTTACTAAGACCTATACAAACTTTATACAGAAATATCCCTCTGCCATTGTTGGCACAATACACAGCTTATTTTCATTATTCTCATATGAACACAATAGTTGAATAACACTAGAAGATAATCAGTGAGAAAATGATGTATGAAACATTATCTTATTCATGGTCTGTAATAAAAATAAATACACATCTAAAATAAAAGTAAATACACATCTATTTATAAGATATTATTTATGGTACAAGACCATAATTTTTTAAAATAATATTTTACCAAATCAGCTAAAAATGATATTTAAAAATAAATAAGGGTTGAATCTGTTTCACATGTACAAGTAGAGTACCTTTTATACAATAAATAAATGTCAGAATTTATAACAATTGTTAGAAATCTTAATTGCTTCTCTGAACAGATGTCTATTCTTTTTTTTCCTAGATAATCAAACTTCAGCTATTTCCAATAAGGTTGCTAAATAATCATGGTGTAGAAAAACCAATTTATGGCTCATTTATATTATTAATTGCTTTACGTATTTCAATGTAAATTCTATTTTTTATTTTATATTGTGTTAATATATTTTGTGTGGTAATATCATCAAACATGTCCATATATCATCCCAGGAAATCATTCTATATCTTTCTTCCTGAAAAACCAAACCCTGGGTAAATACTAAACCTAATGAACTTCTAATTGTTCAAATAGCATGCACAAAAAAATGCAATTGTCTACATGGCTTATTTTTGATAAGAGAAAAATGGTTTCCTGTCCAGTTACAACTCTTGTTTTCATAACATCAGATATTGTGAAAGAATTCAGGACTATATTATACATGTAAATTCAAAACAATCTGAAGTATATTCCAGAACAAACAGAAGTCAAGTTGCTTCAAGCAAAACTTTAAAGGTTTTCTAAAAGGTTACTTTAATCTTATAAAATATATTTATCAATACTTTCCTACCTCCTAGCAATCTGGAGCAGAATGACAGCAACAGTAATTGAAGTGTGAGTCATGGGATATATGGTAGCTGAGATATCCCTCAGAAGACAGCAGAAGAAAAAAATAGGATTTTTTTAAAAAGTGGGATAGAGACGAGAGAGAAGGAAAGAGAAAATAGTGTTGGGGTGGGGTTTTTTTGTTTCTGGACTAGTATTTGTCTGTCTATCTATAAGGATTTATATTCGTGCCATTCAAGTCAAGTTACCAAAGGTCCGACTTTCTAAAATTACATGTAGTACTGTTAACCATTGGTTGAAAGATATGAACAGAATTTAATCACTTTTTAAAAATCCAGGTGGCTGAAATGAAAGCTCTCACTGTAAACGACACTTGATATATATTATAACTCAGTGCACTTATTTCTGACTGACAATATCAATTGTTACAGACAACAAATATTAAGTCCAGAGACAAAAGAAAACCAATCTCTCTCATCCTGTCTCTTTTTATCTTTCTTCTCTATCCCTCTTTTTTTTTAAAAAAATCAGTAGTTTGGCCTAACAATATAGTGATTTTTACTATAAACATAATAGCAGAATAAGAGTTGGAAGAAACCGTGGAGGTCTTCTAGTCAAACTCCCTGCTCAGGCGGGAAGCCCTATATCATTTCAGACAAATGATTGTCCAATCTCTTCTTAAAAACTTCCAGTGTTGGAGCATTCACAACTTCTGGAGGCAAGTTGTTCCACTGATTAATTGTTCTAACTGTCAGGAAATTTCTCCTTAGTTCTAGGTTGCTTCTCTCCTTGATTAGTTTCCACCCATTGCTTCTTGTACTGTCTTCAGGTGCTTTGGAGAATAGATTGACTCCTTCTTCTTTGTGGCAACCCCTGAGATATTGGAACACTGCTATTAGTCACCCCTAGTCCTTTTTACAAATTTAGATTAATTTCTGGTTATGTTAGATGGTTGTATACATTTCAGCCCCTTTCAGTAATTTTCCAGGGGTGGGGGTTGGGATGAGGAGAACAAGTTGTTACATGACACAAACTGTTGCTTATTTCCAAAAATGTTGTACTACTTTATTAAATAGCAGGTAACGTGGTAACAACAGTGCCAGTAGCAGATGAAGTAACCTTAGCTTTTGATGTTCTGTTTAATAGCTATGACAGCAGTAACTGTGCATATTCCTTAGTGAAGATCCTTTTAGCCTCAAAAATTGAAGTTCATAGACTGCAGAATAACTGTCACTTAACCTTGTAGGAAAGATATACAGAGGTTTAAATGAGGCATATCTTAGTGACAAAGTAAATCAACTACAGCCTGCCTACGAAATTAGAAAACATGGCACATAATTCAAGATTATCATTATTTACCTCTATACCTTCTGTTCATGGCTGAAGCTTGTATTGTACCACACAAATAAACCATTCCTAAGAAAGGACTGGGAACTGGATAGAGTAACTATCTCTACCATGCAGTAAAGGTTCATATTATTATTCAATTTTAATTAGTCAAAACAATAGTAAAGAAAACTGGATATATGTAGAGCCAATAGAGAATTTGCTCATATATCCAACCTTTCCACTGTGTTCTTAAGGTTTGTTCCCAAAGTATCTCCCATTTTCTCATTTATAATTGCAACATGTTAAGTAATATAAGGTAAATAATATTTTTCAATTCTATTTCTTCCAGATGAAAATGTTACTAAGGCTATTAACAGCTTCTATTAATAGGCGCCTGGTTTATCAGAAGACACAGCTTAGATTTTACCCTTATCAAAGCCTTGCACCCATAACGGTTTCAGCCATACCATCTTTATTTTAGTAAGAACCCAATCTGCTTTCCCAGAAAACAGCCATTCGCATTCCAAGGATAATGTCACATCACTGCACTGCTTCTGCTGGCCAATTCCCACACCCACCACGGTTAAAGAGAGGAAGTATTGCTCCATCAGCAGAAATCCCACCTCTCGGTGGTGGTGTTATTTATTCATTTGTAGGAGCTGAGTGAGCCTGGCACTGAAGTGATATATTGGATTAAAAGAGAAGGTAGGAACAGATGAACGTGCACCAACTAGTACCGAATACAATAAACAGCTCTCGGAAGTAGTTTCATCAATTTTATTACCCTTTAGGCATTAGGGAAGAAGAAACAGGGAAGTAAAGATTGAGCAATGAACTGAAGGTATATATGGTTGAATATTTTACATTTAAAACTTTACATATTTTGTGCCTTCTGGAGAACATCACTTTTAAGTGCCGACTCCTTTCTATCTTCTTTGGCTGCTTATCTCGATTTATCTTGAACTTGGAGAGCTATGTGTTGAAATAAAACAACATTAATTAAAGCATCATACAGGCTGAAGCATGCACAAAAAGGGGTCTCATTGTAGTTGGTACCATCAATAAATATTTGATTATAGAGTTCTTCATTTCTGAAAAGGCAATATGTTATCTTTTTAAAAATGACGTTTTCCTTCCAACTGCTGGCCTCATTGCTCATTTTCAACACAAATATTCCCATCATACCATTATTGCAATCGTGCCTTTGATCATTCTTTTTAAGCTATGCTAAGATTCATGAATAATAAAGGAATAATTAGAAGGCAATGATATATCAACTAGCTAAAAAAATAAAATTGATTTCAGATTAAAGCCTAGTCTTTACTTTGCTAAGATGGTACCAAATGTCAAGCAAAGAGCAGTACAAAATACAGATAAAATAAGAAGTCTGGAATATTAAAAAAATAATGGAATATCTTGCCACCTAGCAGTTCAAAAGTATGCAAATACAAGTAGATAAATAGGAGCAGTTCAGTGGGAAAGTAACAGTGTTCTAGGTACCTTTGACAAATAGCCACATGACCACAAAAATGTCTTCAGACAACACTGGCTCCCTCAGCCCAGAAACAGACATGAGCACCGCAACCTAGTGTCAGACATGACTGGACAGGGACTCCTTTACTTTTTAGTGGAAGCCAAGTTGCTATTATGAAAAAAAAAATATGCCAAAGCTAATAATGATTGAAATGAAGAACAAGAGAGAAGGTCATATCTTTATGATGTGCTATGATAATGTTGGGGGATATTTCTGCTTCAGATGGCTCAAGTAATGACTTGCATCAGTATATATCTATTCTAAGCAAATAGGGCAGAACAACCTGATTTAGCAAATTGGGCAAAGCACATTAACTCCACCTTTTTTTCAAGGAAACTTCTGCTATTTTTCTCTTAGTTTAAGCCTTTAGTTTATAAAACACTGTTCAGTAGTCAGATTGTGATTAATTTCTAGGTAAAGAAAATCATAAATAGAATGTTTATTAATCTTTGTGATTAAGGACACATGTGAACCTGTTGTTAAAAATCACACAATTTTTTCCAGTTGAATTACTTCTCTTCCCGTCACCCCTGATATATTGAAACCATATGTATATGGGATTGGTAGAAATTCTGGGAATTATAGTACTCCAAAATATGGAGAACACTAAATTGGGAAGGCTGGCATGTGATACCGCTGTTCATGAACCTGATACGTTTTAGTTTCTGTTTGTACTCTTTCCTCACTTGAATCAGTGTCAGTGAATACACAATTATGTTCCTTGATGCCCACCAAAATCTTTACACCTGAGTTTTGAAGAAAAAAATGTATACTTTCCTGCAAAACAAAGTATTGGTTTCCATCACCACATTTGGATATTTTGACTCCACATGGATCCCACAGGTACTCATAAAAAATAAGGTAGATAAAGCATGCAGTGCATGGCTTCTGGATTCTTTCCAACTCTTTAATAACTGTTCTCATCTATGAAACATGAAAGGGAAGGAAGAGGGAAGCTTAAAATGAAACAGTTGGCAATATTCCAAGCCACTCCCAAACTAACTTTCCCACAGACAACCAACTCTCTCACAGTGATGCATGATGGGATTATCTCTCTATCCCTTTCCCTCCTCCCCCCTTCTATTTCTTTTCCAGATCTACCTATTTTGGGACTCAATATTTCTTTTAAAATATCAAACTTGCTAAGCTAAATATTTTCTCCTAATGTGGTTCTTCTTTTACAATCTACAGTATCACCCTGACTGACACCCATGTACTGCACACAAATATAAGGTGACCAGACGTCCCACTTTTGGCGGGACAGTCCCGCTTTTGAGCAATTTGTCCCGCGTCCTGCGGCGTTTTAAAAAAGTCCCGATTTTTCATTCTGCCTCCTGAGTCCCCGCTGATGGCTAGAGGGAAAAAAAACTGTTTGAACTCTTGCCGCGGGGCTTCAAAGGGCCGACCTACAGCTGATCAGTGTTAAAAAAAAAAACCTTGGTATATTTGCGGCGCAAGGCAGCCCTCGTTTCCTGCCGACTCGGAGCAGTAAACAGCGTCTGGTTCAGGGAGCAGCCAGATTTTGCTCTCCATTGCTCTCTCGGTCCCCTGCAAGCTCTCATCTCTCGAGAAGCCCAACCAAAGTTTCCCGCGCCATTTCAGGGAGCGTTCCTCGAGAGACGAGAGCTTGCAGGGGGCCGAGAGAGCAATGGAGAGCAAAATCCGGCTGCTCCCCGAACCAGACGCTGTTTACCGCTCCGAGTCCCAAGCGACAGGAGAGGAGGGCTGCCTTGTGCTGCAAATATACCAAGGTGGAATCCTGATGCCGCCCTTACAGCGGAGAGAAGAAGCCGGATTTTGCTCTCCATTGCAGACACCAGATCGTAATGCACCACCTGCAAAAATGCGAAAATTTCCAAATGTAGCCCTGCCCTCTTACAGCTCTCCTGATGTTCAACTGTTGTCTCTCAAGGAGGATACTTGGCCAGCCTCATGCTTGATGTCTCCCACCTTGGCAGCTTTAAGACTTGTGGACTTCAACTCCCAGAATTCTCCACAATTCCCCAGAATGGGCTCGGCGGGAGTTGAAGTCCAAACGTTGTAAAAGAGCCACAATTGCCCAGCCCTGGGCTAGGGTAGGCTGACGCCGCGCGGATGGGAGGAGGGGCGGGCGACCCAGCAATTAAGTTGTGGTTTGGAGGTATATATGGGGGAAATTATTTGGTTTATTATTATTGATAGATATAATTAATTGATTTGTAAGAAATTGGATTGCATGGAAATAATTGGAATATTCATGTTCATATTGATTAATATACAAAAAAGATAGTTATATAACTAATTGATTTATATTAAAATGTTGAATTTGTATTAAACAACTGTATTACATAATTACATAATTAACCAATGTGAGGATGGATATAAAAATAGATGACAATGGGAAGGGGTATAATATAGAATAGAAGGGAAAAATTGAATTTGATTAAGATTAGAGATGAAGATGAAGGATAATATTGTTTTTTTTAAAAAAATAGATGAGGAATAAATATGGCAAAAAGGAAATATAGAAATTGTAAATTTAATTGAAATGACTAAACGCTGTTTAAATTTGTGAACCAGCCAAATATTCTGTTCAAAGAAAATACATTGTATGTTTGTATGTGTGTTTCTAATTACTGCTATTTATTCATATTTGTTCTCTTTTATTCTTTAAAGTTTAACAATTCATTCTTTATCTTAATATCTTTATATTTGTTTGGGGTTGGCTTTCTTCCCGTTCATCTTTTTTATTGTACAGCAATCTTTCTCCTCAAACCTACCACCTCTCTCTTTTCTTTCCTTCTTACTTTCTCTTCCCCCCACCCTCTTTTTCTCCTCCCTACTTCCTCTTCCTTTCTCCTCCTCCTCCTCTCTTCCTCCCTCTCTTACCCTCACTCCTACTCTAATTTCTCTTCCTTCATCCCTCTCTATTGCTGTATCCTTTAATGCATATGGACTACTCAGAGGGCTGAAAAAGTTATTTTTGACTGGGCCTCACACTTTTGACCAGTCCTCGAACTTACAACTGTCCTCACATTTTACATTTTTGCCCTATCTTGTCATCATGGTGAAGAGAAACAGTTGTGAAATGAGTGACATGGTTGTTAAGAATGCTGCATGGGCATAAATGTGAGAATGGTCATAAGTGTGAGGACCAGTCAAAAGTGCGAGGACCTGTCAGAAATGACTTTTTTCAGCCCTCTGGTTAGTCCTTTTGTGCATATGGACTACTCAGAGGGCTGAAAAAGTTATTTTTGACTGGTCCTCGCACTTTTGACCAGTCCTCGAACTTACGACTGTGCTCACATTTTACATTTTTGACCTATCTTGTCATCATGGTGAAGAGAAGCAGTTGTGAAATGAGTGACATGGTTGTTAAGAATGCTGCACAGGCATAAATATGAGGATGGTCATAAGTGTGAGGACCAGTCAAAAGTGCGAGGACCTGTCAGAAATGACTTTTTTCAGCCCTCTGGTTAGTCCTTTTGTGCATATGGACTACTCGGAGGGCTGAAAAAGTTATTTTTGACTGGTCCTCGCACTTTTTTTCCCAATCCTTTTACCAGCAGTAACCATAGGAGCAGTTTGTATTTCTTCTGGATAACAAAATATGTCACAGTTGTGGGAGAGAGTGATGCCTATTCAAAATGACTTCAACTGTGTTGCACACTCTGACCATATCTCTGCTCTGGGCTGCAACCATATGTATGTCTGCATGTATGTACAGGTACAGGGTGACCTGCACATTTTCTGCTGTAGATCACATGACTACTAAGAAAGGGCTTAGAATGGAACAGTTGCTGACATTCTGATCCACCACCCAACTCCCTCTTCCATAGGACTACATTGGGTTCTGTTTCTCCTACTCTATCCCACCCCACCCTGCAATGTAACTGCCTACCACCATTGACTAGATGTAGACCATTTTTGAATTTCATCTTCCTTTTCAGAATTCTTTGATCATATTAAATTTGTTCCTGTTCAATTCAGTTTCTGAGAATTGTCCTGCAAGGGGTGGCTTAACCCTTTACGTGATTTATTTACAGTGATTTCATGGATTGGAAAGAATAATATAAAGTTCCAAGTTGCCACATCCAATGTTTTGTTTTGAAGTGTATATATTTGTACAGAAAACAAAGATAAAGCTAAATTACACATAAACAAAGAGCATTTTAATGGTTGGAAGTGATGGTAGAGTGCATTCCCACCAGTTTTCTGGAAAGAGTGTGTCATGCTGATTATTGCAGACATTTGAAATAACTAACTTTTCGTAGAGCAGGTCCTTTTTGACAGTAAATGGGGCTTTCACAATTCCAAATATGCCTACCTGCAAGGTGCAAATTAAAATTTCAGGCCAACCTAACTGAGTTTCCATCTTCCTAACTCATGTTTGGAAAAAAAAGATACATCATTACATGAATGCTTGGTTTTCCTGGGTCACTGCTAGGTAGAATATTAAGCCTAAAATGCTAATCAATTTTCAATGTTAAAATTTTGTATAACACATTGAAAACATGCAGGTATGGTTCTATTTTCCCACATATGTAACATAGCTATGCACCCAGTTTCAGAACATGATTATACTTAATTTTCTTTGTTTTAGTATGGTTCTAAGAGTTTTGCAAAAACACGTTGTATTCAACAAGTATGATTCAGATGTCATAGAGTCATCACTCCAACTATTCCAAATGCAAAACAGACCAGACAGCAGAAAGACAATGAAATACATTGCTTGTTGGTAGATAGCCATGGTAACATCTCAACATATTTTACTATAATTCCAGATGGGAGAGAGGGAGGCAGCATATGGATGTATTCATATTAAAGTCAAGCATTCAATGCTTCATAAAAGGAGTAATTTTTGACTTAAGTAACCTTTTAGCTAACTTTCATTCTTTGCAGATGAAAAATAAAACAGCAAATGAAAATGAAAAAAGTTGAATAATTGTAGATATTTACTAAGTTGAATAACACAGATCTTTGGTATACAGATGTCTGGTAAATGTCACTTTTCCTTATTAAAAATACCACTTCCTGAAAGAACCCCTTTGATTCAAAGTTCTTAACTAAAATACATGTGCTAATGAATCATAGCAAATTATATTATTATGCATAGAACCTGGTCATGCCACATCATTAATGCTTTGAAACACCAACTTTATTTCTGCCATGTAAATGAACGCTTTTCTTCCTCCTTTCTTTGAATGTATATAAGATTTCATTCAGTCAATCGTGTTTTCCCTTATTTGGTGTGTGGGTCATTTTTTTTTCTTTTTTGTACACATTTTTTTTATTGTTGTTAGTGTTGGGTGTTTGTTTTTTGTTTTCTTTGTTTTGCATTTTATTCCTATTGATAAAACATAATAAAGGTAAAGGTAAAGTTTCCCCTTGCAAATATGTGCTATTCGTTACCGACTCTAGGGGGTGATGCTCATCTCCGTTTCAAAGCCGAAGAGCCAGTGCTGTCCAAAGACGTCTCCGTGATCATGTGGCCGGCATGACTAAACAGCAAAGGTGCACAGAACACTGTTACCTTCCCACCAAAGGTGGTCCCTATTTTTCTACTTGCATTTTTTAACCTGCTTTCGAACTGCTAGGTTGGCAGAAGCTGGGACAAGTAATGAGTGCTCATTCTGTTACGTGGCACTAGAGATAATATAATAAATAATATAATAAACATAATAAATATATATTAAAATGGTGTTTTCCATTTTATCTGAATTTCAAATTTAGATTGAAGCTAATAACTATAGTTTGTGGATTTGGATAATAGATATGATCCATAAGAAAACAAAAAAGTAACGATCTTAAAAGATAGATCTAACACTCCCTCATTAGCTGATCATTTACTAAATGTTACTAATTTCTGAAGGGTTGTGTGTTAAGGCAACCTTAAAGAAAAACAGGACAGAAGCAAATGGCATAAGTTACTGTCATCAAGACAT